CGTGGACGCCGCGAGGTTCCGCAGGGCCGGCCCCGCTTCCTCTTGTGCAAGGCACGGTGTGCTGCCGGCCGGCTCTGAGGGAAAACGCTTTCCCAACATCCCCCCCCCCCCCCCCGCCCCGCCTCTTTCCCCCCCACCCGTGTTTTTTTTAGCACGGTCTGTGCTGGTGTCCCTTACCTCGGTCCGTGGTGAGGGACGTCCACCGAGTCCTTTCTGCATTCCCGGAGCTCGGGAAACCGGGAGGAGATCACCAGCGGACAAGGTGGAGGATGAGATTGGGGTCTCTCGTGGCGCGGGGTGGCTGTCACAGGCAGGGACACGCACCTCGGGGGTTTCATCGCCTGCTTTCCGTGTCTCTGCGGCTGAGGTGGTGCCCACGCACCATCGTAGTCATTTTTCTCGCCGTAACCCTGTCCTCCTGCTTCTCCAGGGCTTCCGGAACGGAGCTGCTGTCACCATGCTGGGGCCAGAGCTTGCTCGATTTTAGGAGTGGGACTGTCTGTCAGTGCTGCGTTGGGTGGTGAACAGGAAAGGCCAAACACTAATTCATGCATCGCTCAGCTTGCTTTTAATGTGAGTCTCCACATTAAGCTTCTGACCTTTGCAGGAGCTGGTGGCGGGGTCATTCCAGCTCTAATGTTTGCATATGCAGAAGACCAATATGTTTTTCCTGATTCTCAAACGATCTCCATAACTCTTTCCTTCAAGTGCTACATATGCACAGCCTTGTAGGAGCCCCAGGCCACGCTGCATTTGGCCAGGCGTCTGTGAATTATTTTTCGGTGGGATGCAGCAGTAACAAAAAAGATCTTTTTCATTTTTTCCATACAGGAGGGGAACTTACAAGACATGAAGCGAGCTCCTGTCAAACTGGAACTCCAGTGACTGTGCAAGGGAATGCACAGTCTTACCGTTACTGCTGGGTTAAGCCCTTAGGGTGTTTTATATGGATCGGGCACAGGAGTCTTTTTCTGAAGCCTGACTGAGTAACTTTGTTCTGTCTGGGTAGGGAATTTTTAGAGTTTTATTTTTTAATGTGAACAGTGGTGATTATCTGATATGAAAGCAGTAAACAAACATCGCTGGGTTTACTGTGCTTATTCTGGGCACAGTGTAGCACAATATTTTGCAATTGGGAGTGCTGTGAAACTGGTTTTCAGTTGGTTGGGAAATACATGTGACTGCGTAGCTGAATCTGCCAGGAAACTGCCTGGCTAATTCTCTTATTTCCTTGGGTACGTGGAAAAGAATGACCCGCCCAAACCCTTCCCATTCCATAGTAGGTACCTGCTCTTCAGCTACGGTCTCTGTACACCATCGCAGTAACTGCAGCCTGCTAAGGTGCAGCGGGCAGTATGTCAAACTTCTCTAGGTTCCTGGATTAAAGGTTGCTCAAGCAAATGTAAATATTACTTTATTGCACTGAAAAACTTTGTCATCTGCATTATAGCCCCATAGTGGGGGAAGGAAAACCAAACCTCTGCTTAAAATGGTAATTATTTGTACTGCACGCAAAATCTTAGGAGCTACACTTCTGCCCCTCTGCAATTGCCAGCTCTATTTGCTGGATTCCTTAAGTGGGTACGTGGAGCTTAAACAGCACAGCAAGAAGGGAGGGAAGGGAAGCAGTCACAACAGAAGGCTAGGGAGGCATGATACGAGTTAGATTTACGGACTACAATATACCTTGTTGAAGGTCTCCAGAGAAGAGCAAGGGATACTGGACCGTCTTTTGAGGGAGCGATGTGCCCTGTGGGGAGCAGTGAGGCCGTCCCTTTGCGCAATGGCAGAGCAGAGTGGGCTGCAGTTGTGGTTGGCTAACTGATGCTCAGCTCCGGTGTGATTTCCATGCAGGAAAGAGGGAAGGAAAAGCCGAGGAGTCTCCATGCAAACCAACCTTTGAGAGGGAAGCCCAGGTGCCTAGAAGGCACAGCAGCATCGCACAAGTGTTGTCCTGCTGTCCTTGGGGCGCTCGCTAAAACTGCCCCCTTCTCACTGCATCAGGGTTGTAGTCTTGGGAAGTCCTTTCTTCTGAGGGTTGGAGTGGGGGACTGCTCCCGGGGAGGCTCACTAGGGTCAGTCTTCAGCATGGATCTGAGCTCACATGCACAGCAGAGGAATTAGTCAGGAAGACACTCCAGGAGCAGGAGTTGCCACATACGCCTGCATTTTGCCTGCTCACAAACGGCAGCCAAAAGGTTTAGCACAGCCAGTGTCTATGGGCTGAGAGCTGGGATGTGCTGGGACGTTGCTGGCACAGGCATGTTCATTTTTTTCTCTGCTGTAATTGGGTCTTTCCTCCCATTTACCAGAAAGGGAACGACCTGCCTTATCTTACTTGCTTACCTGACCATTGATCAGAGAGTCTGCCGTACACTCAGTCACAGGAAAAGAGAGATCTGCGCTGTGGAGGGGCTGTGAAGAAGACAAGTTTCCAGCTACTTTTGCCACTGCGTTCTCTGTAAAGCTCCTGTATTACTCGGGTGAGTCTGCTGGGGAGAGAAATCCAAGATTTATAAAGACGGGTTTGAGCTGCAGATAGGGAGAGATACTCAGAAATTGCTTGTTTTAATTTACTTATCCTTCAGCTGACTTTGATCCTGTGTTGATTTAGTGATGGAATAGTGACTTTTCTGGGAGCTTTCCAGGGGGAGAACCAGTGAAAAGCTAGGACAACATCAGTGTTTCATCCCTTGCCATTCAAGGGGAGCAAGGACCAGGCCTTCTGCTCCAGGCTAGGAGAAACAATCCTGAGTAAGTCTGGGCAGGTAAAAGGTAACAGCTTTTGGTCCTGGGCATATGTACAGTTGTAGCTGGAGCAGTGGAGCCAGTGTTATGTTTTCTAGCTGACTCTGAGTGTATGAATCTGATGAGACCTGTCTTGTCTCTGCCTGCAGAAGGTTAAGATGATCGTGTTCTTTCTCATACCAACGATCCACTTACCTCAGTTGTGTGGTCAGGAAACTGCCATTTTAAAATGGTGTAATCATGCCAGTGCAAAGCCTAGTGAGAGTGCAACTGTACCAGTATAAAAAAGCCATGTACTTTTTCCTCTTACTGTCAAAAAATGGCTGGTTTTCCTACACATGTAAAATGAAAAGGTATAAATCTATTGACCAGAACCAAAAATTTTTAAAGAAGTTAATTATCTTTTGTGATTTGACGGCTATGCTCCAACTAAACACAACTTCAGAAAATGAAATTCAGAGAATGAGATAGCCAGTGTAAGAGCTTCTGAAATAATACTTGATGTAATGAGAAAAGCACAATGGTTTATTCACTTGCTCTGGATTATGTCTCTTGAGATGTAAAGTCATTGCCATGTTTCTAGGTATAAGAACTAACTGTGTCATTTCTCTTAAAAACACTTTATTTTGGATTAGAGAAACAAGAATAAACAAGAATGAGCAAAGGGGCTTTTTGGTCAGGGAGACCAGCTGTTACTGGCTGCAGTGGTTTGAACAGGTACTGAGTGGAGAAGGCCAGAACGGGTGCTGACACGCACTCTTCAGTGATGGAAAGTTGCAGTAGGCAGAACACAAACCCCGCATTGTCTCTTGGCTGCATACACAACCATTGAGGCAGCATCTAGACTGGCTCATGTCTAGACTCAATTTTAAGGACTAAACTTCTTATTCCCCTGTGTTGTTTTATCAGACCATTTGTCTCCCAGTAGCTCATTAAAACCTAATTCAGCTCTGTTCATGAGAGTGGTGGTGCACATGAGTCATTAAAGTGCAGTGTATTAAAGAAGAGCCTGTGTACTGGAACTGCCAGTGGTTGTGCTTGTCTCTGAGCTGCTGTGACAATATTGACATGAAGCAATGCCAAGACAACATAATACCGTTTGAGCAAAGTCCCAAACAGGAGGTTGTTGAAAGCGGTACTTAATTTGCAGGCACATGTGTTTGTTTGTAGCCAGCTCTGAAATTTGTATTAAAATGGATTTCAGTTTCACAGTCTAAAGGCATTGACACCCCCTCATTAACTCAGCTGTGGGAACAATGCTTATGCTAGCGAAAGACCTTAGGCACACGCTGTCTTCCACTTCTTGGTTTGCATAAGGAGGCTGCAGTCTTTTCAAGAGCCCCAGTTACTACCATGATTCAAATCATGGAGTCAAGGAGACACTGTTGGGTGGAGGATGCAGGCAGAAGTCCCTGGCTTTTCAGCCATGGGAAAGCAGGTACCTTGCATTGTGTTTTGCAGTGTTATAATGTGGACTGACAGATTTTCCTTTTTTAATCCTGTCCTCTAGTGTTCCTGGGTCTACCTTTTCTCTCCCAGGATGCTGAGAAGAGTCCTGTGTACAGTGTTGTTCATGGGAGCCTTGCCATCACTGGCTGAAGCGTCCCAGGGCCACATTTCAGTGGTCTTGCTGGGAGCCACAGGTGATTTGGCCAAGAAGTATTTGTGGCAGGGTCTATTCCAACTCTACATGGACCAAGTGAGCAGTGGCCACAGCTTCACTTTCCATGGGGCTGCACTGACAGCTCTGGAGCCAGGGCAGAGGCTGATGTTTGATGTGCTGAAGAAGCTGGCCTGTCCCCCAGACGAATCTCCCAACAGGTGTGCTGTGCTCAAGGACCAATTCCTGAAGCTGAGCCAATACCACCAGCTGAAGACTGCCGAAAACTACACTGTGCTGAACAGAGAGATTGAAACCCTGCTTCGCCAGGAGGGGCTGAAGGAGGCTGGAAGGATCTTCTACTTCTCAGTACCACCATTTGCCTACACAGAGATTGCCCGCCACATCAACAGCAGCTGCAGACCACCTCCAGGAGCCTGGTTGCGTGTGGTGCTGGAGAAACCTTTTGGCCATGACCTGGAGTCGGCCCAGCAGCTGGCTGCAGACCTGACAAGCTTCTTCAGAGAAGAGGAGATGTACCGGGTGGACCACTACCTTGGCAAACAGGTGAGCAGCTTGCAATGTGCAGCCCCCTGCCAGGTTGAGGGACTTAGTGCCTGGGAGAGTGTTGGATGTCAGCTCTGCATCTAATGAGAGTGTTGTTCCCTTCTCGAATTCAGGCAGAGCCACTGAGTGTGCTCCCAAGCCTCCATTTGCTTATGGAGTCCTGTACTGTTATTCTTGTCCTGGACTGTGCTGCTGTCCCTCCTCTTACAGAGCAGAGGAAATATGCAGACCAAAGCAGGGCTTTCTCCCATTAGAGTGATGAGGGTCCCCTTTCCAGAGGAAAGCCAGGGTGTAGGGGTGAACTGTGCGTGTGCATGAAGGAGAGATGCAGAATTCATCTGGTCTTCTCACCAAGGTCAGGGCTTTGATTTCGCTGAATAAGCAACGCCCTTTCCATCTCACGGTTCATCCATCTCATGACACACAGGCCTCTCTGCTTAGCCATGGCTTCTAGAAGCAGTTTTTAATTTGATATGATATGGAGCTGATGGGATGTTAGTTTTGCGGGATGCTTAGGAGAAGGTTTCTTCCTGCCCTGTGCTCCATTCAGGGCACGGAGGACTGGCTGCTGCAGGGACAGCTCAGGATATGGAGCTGCATTGTCCCAGAGGGAATGCGTTCAAGGGCACGCCATCCTTGTTTTAGAGGAATGCGATGCCACATTTTGAAAGCGGCCTGTTCCAGCCATGGCACTGTGGCCAGATTTTACTCAGAAGGTTGCATGTCCAGCTGCAAGAGAGGGGATTTCTTCTCTTTTTTTTTTCCCAAAAAGAGCAGATGGCTTTGGTGGTGTAAGCATCTGATCTGATGTATTTCAGCACTTTGGAACTGTACGTTAGTCCCAGGATGGTCTGACTCAGCCCTTTGTCCTTTGATGGATATAAACTGAGTGCCTTGCAGTTTGTAGTTCAGTCTTTTTCACATGCAACTTCAAAATGTCTCAGAAAGACCTTTAATGTCTGCTCTGTACAGTCATTGGAGACCCCATTGTGCATCACTGCAGGCTCTCTTGCTGATTTTCTCTGACCCACTCTGCTCTCTGCTGTGTGGCATGTCTGCTGACGCTCCAGAGCTGGCCACATCCCAGTGCTGGATGGGGCAGTGAGGCAGAGATACCGTGGAAATCTGGTGAGTTTTTATTGGGTCTTTGGTGAGTTTTTGTTGGGTCTTTGATTTCTCCCTTCACAGGCTGTAGCCCATATCCTGCCTTTTCGAGATCAGAACCGACAGTTTCTGGATCCAATTTGGAACAGACATCATGTGGAAAGAGTGGAGATTGTCTTGAAAGAGACGGTGGATGCTAAAGGTTGGTGAGGCGAGTGTGCAGAGCTAGCGTGAATAAGTGAGAAGGAGAACTGGCAGGTTCACTAATTATGTGAAAGTGGCCCTTGAGGTAGTGCTGGTGCAGAAACAAAAAAGAGCAGATTAATGATATGTTGCTCCTTGGAAATAGAGAGGGACTGTCTTACATTTCCTGTGCTAGGGACTGACTCACTTCCAGGTAGTGTTGCTGCTTCCAAGAAAAGATTCCCATTGCAGTTCAGCTGGGAGCAGGGGCAGAATGCCCCACCTTTTTCTGCTGCAGAGCTTTGGGGGTGTTGCACCTAGCTTTCTATCGCAGATCTTGGTAAAAGGCACTGGATTTGGAACTGATGCAATCTAAGGCCACTTCAGTTCAGTGCTGCAATAATCTGGTTGTTGTGAAACAACCCTTTTGTATTCCTGTCCTGTTAGCTGCCAAGCTCACGCTGAGTATACATTTGCGCTATTCTTTGGAAGATGCTCTTGCATCTTTTGCCTGGATATTACTCATATCGGCTAGCCAGTGTCAGTCCAGGTACCTAGGTGAGTCTGTGTTTGCCTGTTTCTTTCCCTTCCTCTCTGTAGTAAGAAGGAGCATTGCAGAGGGAAAATCCAAGCCCAGACTTGCTAGCATGGGTCTCCTGCTGAAGGACACGGCTGCAATCTCTCCCTGCAATGCTGCAGCATCCGCTCTGCAGTGCTCAGCATAAAGCACTCTGGGCTGGACTGCCACCCGCAGCACTTCTTGGGATGTCAGGCGCCCTCAGTTCTGCAACATCAGGATTGCTTCTCCACTCGCTTTACCTCCTCTTCTATCTTCCTCCTCCCTCCCTCCCTCCCTCGCTTCCTTCCTCAGCCACCACAAACTCAATTAATGCAGTTTTATCAAACCTGGAGTAATCTTTGGTTTGGCAGCCCAGACCTCACCTGGGCCTGTTTGTGGCAGAGGGATGCATTGCAGAGAGATTTAGGGAGAACCGTGTTGTCTGTGCGTTGCCCCAGCTACACCCTGTGCCCTCCCCACTCTGAACTACTTTGTAATTTTTCATTTGATGTCTTTTTTCCCCTGTGCGGCTTCAGCTGGCAGCCTGGCTCCCAGCAAGTCTGCAGCATTGATTACATTAATGAATGTGCCTTTGGATTAGAGCAAGGGAGATAAATGTATCAATCAATAGGGGAAGCCTATGGCCATGATACAGTCTGCAGTGTGGCAGACAGAAAAGGCATCTGTTTGAGTCACTTTCTTTATAAGTGCATTGTCCTTCTCCCCGTTTTCCCACCTGCATGAGAAGTCAGGCAGGGAAAGAGAAGCAGAGCTTTGTGCATGAAATTTTGTCTCTCAAAGGCATGGCTCAGCCAGAGCCTTCTGAGGACATGAAAACCAGTGGAAAAGAGGCAGTGAAAAGCAGTGTTCATTGCCGGGGCCCGGCTTCAGCTGTTCTGTGGACCTGGTGTGTAGCTATTGAGCTGCTGGGGTCCCTGCTCTGACCCCGTTTTCCAGGTAGTCTGTCAAAGCTTTTACGTAGAACTGCATGTTGTGTGGAGTCCCAGGGCTCAGGTGCTGTGACCTGTGGGGCAGGAGTGTCGGGGCGAAGGTTATACGGGGGCCCTGCATCGTGGTGTATGTGGGAGTTTTGAGCTGAACATTGCTGCCAGTCACTCACCACAGCTTCTGAAAGCACAAGCAGTCCAAGAAAGCAAAGCTGCCTTCTGCTCTGTGCGCTCAGGACTATTGGGCAAAAGCGTTACTCCTGCTGGGTTTAGGCTCTGTAAGCACCCAATAGGACAATTATGTCTGGCTCTGTGGAGGACAAGCAGTCCCGCAGGAACCTTTTATCTTTATTTTAGTAGCAGAGATGTTTGGGAAGCCCCTCTGCAGGGAGATGAAAGGCTTAGAATCGCAGAATCGTAGAATGGTTTGGTTGAAAGGGACCTTTGAAGATCATCTAGTCCGACCGCGCTGCCACGGGCAGGGACATCTTTCACTAGGTCAGGTTGCTCAAAGCCCTGTCCGACCAGAGCTTGAACACGTTCAGTGGTGGGACATCCACAACTTCTCTGAGCTTGATAGCTTCAAGTTAATTGTTGGTCCAGGAGAAGAGGAGCTTGGTGCAAACCTATTAGGGCTTGTGCTCTTTGTTCTCCTTGCCACACACGTTATACATGCGGAGGGCAAGGCTACAAGAAAACCACATCAGTTTGCCAGCATCTTACCTCCTCTTTGTCCTCAGGCCGCACCAGCTTCTACGAGCAGTATGGAGTCATCCGGGATGTGCTGCAGAACCACCTCACGGAGGCCCTGATGTTCCTGACCATGGAGCTTCCAGCCAACGTGAGCAGGGCTGAAGAGGTGTTGCAGTGCAAGCTGCAGGCCTTCCAGTCCTTGCGGGGTCTGGACAAAAACAGTGCCGTGTTGGGTCAGTATCAGGCATACGCCAGCCAGGTACAGGAGGAGCTACAGAAGGCGCAGGACTACATCAGCACGACGCCAACCTTTGCAGGTGAGAGTTTGGTCTGGGCCCCACAGAAGGGAGTAGTCTAGAGCTGAGGAGAGCAGGAGATGGGAGTCCTTGCATGCTGATACCAGCTCCGTGACTCTGGACCTCACTGCTGACACGGGGATTTCACCAGGCATCCACCAGCATGGTAACTGGGAGCTGTAACAAGATAATACTGTTGTCATGTTAGTTAACTAACGACCCAGTGAATGGGAAGCATTGCATAAGAGCTAAGTCCCATTATTCTTGATAAGATCTCTGCGTTATTTTTAGAAGTGGCCTGCAAACTCCTTTGCCTTTCCATAACATCGAGTTGCTCTCTGCATCTGAGGGGTAAAGCGTTGGCAGTTCTCTGTGATTAGTAGACCGCAAGGCCATCTGTGGCCATGCTGTGTCTTCTGACCATTAAATATTTTGTCTGAATGATATTCGTGCTCAGAAACTGGTCTCCTGCGAGATGAAAGGAGGCTAATCAAGTAGGATAGCTGGGAGGAAGCACAGCAGGGTAGCTGGAGAGCAGTTATTCCAGTGATGTCATGGAAGGGCTGAATGTGGAGGAAGAGACACAGTTAGAGGCCAAGATTTCTGGGCGCTAAGGAAGGAGAATGATGTGTACGTGGCAGAGATCCTCTCAAATCTGCTTGCTATTCGCTTTTAATTTGGTAGCTGACATCACTGTCATTTCAGGTGTGCTGATTCACAGCGACAGCCTGCGTTGGGAAGGGGTCCCTTTTCTCCTCACTTCTGGGAAAGCTCTGGATGAGCGGGTAGGTTATGTCCGTGTTCTCTTCAAGAACCGGGCCTACTGCACTCAGAGTGAGACTCTGAGGGATGCTGAGCACAGCCAGTGTAAAGCCAAGCAGATCATCTTCTACATTGGGCATGGCGCACTCAGCACCCCTGCAGTGCTTGTGAGCAGGAACCTTTTCAGGCCTGTCATGCCAGAAGGCAGTTGGAGAGAAGCGGTGGGTCAGTCGGACCTGCACATTTTTGGACAACCGTTGTCTGACTACTACGTGTACAGCCCTGTGAAAGAGAGAGATGCGTATTCTGTCCTCATCTCCAACATCTACCATGGCAGGAAGGACTTCTTCATTACCACCGAGAACCTGCTGGCCTCCTGGGCATTCTGGACACCGCTGCTGGATAGCATTTCCCACCAGCCCCTCCGCCTCTACCCTGGGGGTGTGGAGAACCAGCACCTCTTAGACTTTGAAATGGAGAGTGGGGAAGTGGCGTTCACGCTGGCAGAGGCAGTGGAACTGCTGAACCCCAACAGGCTGATGCCAAATGATTACAGGACAATCCAGTCCAAATTTCGGCAAAGTCCCCTGGTCTCAGCGTGGTCTGAGGACCTGATTTCCCAGCTGGCTTCTGACATTGAGAAGACAGCGAGTAGGACTGTGGCACGCTCTGGGCAGTTCCATCTGGCGCTCTCGGGTGGCTCAAGCCCGGTGGTCCTATTCCAGCGGCTGGCAAGACACCATTATGCCTTTCCGTGGAAGCACACCCACATCTGGCTGGTAGATGAACGCTGCGTCCCTCTCACCGACACCGAGTCCAACTTCTTCAGCTTGCACAACCACCTCCTCCAGAGTGTCAGGGTGCCCTACTTCAATGTCCACCCCATGCCTGTGCACCTGAACCAGCGGCTCTGTGTGGAAGAGGACAGAGGCACGGAGCTGTACGCCAAGGAGATCGTGGCCCTGGTGGCCAATGCCAGCTTTGACCTGGTGCTGCTGGGGGTGGGCACTGATGGGCACACTGCCTCGCTCTTCCCCAAGTCTGAAAATGGCTTGGAAGGGGCTCAGACTGTGGTGCTGACTGAAAGTCCCGTCAAACCTCACCAAAGGATGAGCCTTAGCCTACCCCTCATCAACAAGGCCAGGCAGGTGTTTGTCCTGGTTTTGGGGAAGGGCAAGCACGACATCACCATCCTGCTCAGCAGAGTGGGCCATGAGCCAAGGAAATGGCCTATCTCAGGTGTCAGCCCCAGCTCTGGCCAGCTGGTGTGGTATGTGGATTACGAAGCCCTGCTTGGGTGATGCCTTCACAGTGTCCCTCCTCCCTTGTCTGCGTGGCCCTTACAGCCTGGATTTTCCTACACAATGTCCATGTTTTTCTGTTGCCAGCAGCAGCTTCATCTCTGACAGACTCCTCTAACCTTCTGGGAAATCCGTGGCCTGCAGTGCCTCTGACATTTGAGCCCGGAAAGCAGCTCGGCTCAGTGTTCAGAGCTAAGTAGGAGCCAAGAGCCCGCTGCAGCATTTCTGGCTCTGCTAGGGATTCTGACTGTGACTTTGGACAAATTACCTCACCTTGAAGTGCCTCAGTTTTCCCTGTCAGGCCTTTGTGGTTATTAGCATTTAACTACCTCACAGGCACTACGGGGGTCTTGTTAAATTAAGTACCTGCCAATTTTTTTTCCTTTTTTTTTTTTTTTTTTATAAATCTCAGGCTAAAAGACAGTAATAACATGTTCATCCTCTGCCCTGCTCAGTCTGGCTGGGACAGAGTCGTCGTCTCGGTCAAGTGATGGTTCTGTGTACATGGGTGTGTAATCTTGTATGTGCAGCCCATCTTGGGGTCAGCCAGCCACTGACTATGGCTGTGCTCTCCTGGAAGCACAGACACCCATTAGCTTTTGTGGCATGTGGCCCCTAAATTCTGACACTGATTTGTGAGCTCGCTGCAGTCCTGAGTCTTTGCAAATTGCCCAGCAGCAGAGGCTGAGTTTATAAGCAGTAATTTGCTGCTTTCATTAAGTGGATAGCTGATGCCGTGGGGGGTGGAGAAGGAAGACACATTGCTTTTTAGGCTGTGGGAATAATGGGGACAGGGTGAGGAATGTGGCAGTTCACAGAGTTGTTATTTGCCTGCAGTGCTATAATTATTGAGGGAAAAGCTTGGTGTTTAGAGGTGGTGTTTGGGTTTAGCTAGCAAAGAAATGTTTTCTTTAACTGTCTTTCTGTGTCTTATTCTCTGAAATGAACTTTTCTCTGTCCTCAGAATTGAAGCTTGCAGTGTCATTCAGTGGCTTATAAAATTTCTACGGGAGGCGGCTTTATAAACTGTCAACGTATCCATCATTAGAGCACGCATTAAGGTAGTTACAGTGTTTGCGGATGGTGGTGGGGTGTTTAAACTCAAGGACGCTGACTTCTAAGGGGAGGTAATTTTTTCTGTGCATATCTCTTGGGCGCACAAAAATAGCAAATTGCATCTCTGTGTTGACAGGACAACGTTAAGTGGTTATAGAAATGTATAGTGCCGTTGCTTACAGGAAGGGTTGGAGACATCTAGTCCTACCTAGAGACCCCGCTCTCCCCTTCCTAATTTTCACCTTCCCAGGATGCTGCCACGCACAGTGGGTATCTCTCTGCTTTCATGATATCCCCGAATGCTCCGTCATCTTCTCTAATGGGTAATTTGCCACAGCACACCAGAGTGCAGCTTTTGGTAAGGGAATCATGATGGCACGAGATGGGAGAATCTGAGCTGATGGTCCATGTGGAGGCTAGAGACAAACCCACTCACCCGGGGTGGCACCAGGATGGGACAGACCCACTGCAGGAAGGTGGAACACGGCCGAGGTACTGGCTGCCAGCAGGGAGGATTCTGCATAGGAGCGGAGGCCACTTTCAGGGGGATTTCTCTCTTCTTCCTGTGAATGCTGGCCCTGTTTCTGCAGAGAAGTAGCTGTGTGGGGGTGACCTGGTGGAGATGGTGGGGTCTGAGGTGACCCAGGGACCGAGGGCTCAGCAGGGGCCCCAATGCTGACAGGAGATGGCGCCCGGACCCAGAGAAGCAGCAGTAAGTTGTGTGCTGTTCTTTCAGCAGGGCTGGTCTGAGGCTGTGCCAGGCTTGGCCACCCTTCCCACCCCTGGAGCCTCACAAGGGAAAAATAAGATCCTCAGGAGTTGGACCTGGGAGTCTGGTGACCCCTTAGGGACCCGAAAGTCTGCAGTATAGGGAAGAAAAGGGACTTTGCTTTAGAAAGCTGGGCGATAGGCATTGGCTTCAAATCCTTCCATGCACAGGGATCTGCTGAATCCTAGCGATGAAGATGCAAATCCAGGTACAAATAGGTGCTACAGTCCGATAGCACATGAAGCAAGGTGGGCAGGTCTGTACAGCCTGTGCTCCCAGGTTCCTGAGTTCTCGCCATTCAGCATAATGCTTATATTAATGCAGAAATCAGAACTGTTGTCCTCTGCTAATGGCACGGATAAAAGTGCACTGAGCAAGCTCTAGAGAGCCTGTTACTCGTCAGCAGTCCCTAGGCAAACAGAGCCAGAGAGAACATAACCTGGCAGAAGCTATGTGCAGCAGGAAAAGGCCAAATTCTCAGGGACTGGCTGTGATTTCTGGCCGACACCCTCCCCCACCTTGCAGATGGTCCAGAAAAGCTGCATTTTACATCCTGTATTTGACTCAGCTGAGCTGAGTTGCACTGATGCGCATCACTTTGCTTTTGCATGGGAAAGGAGGAGAGTTGTGGTGGTGTAGCTTTCTCAAAAGCTCAAATGCAGAAGACACACAGGTGTCTTAACTGGTCCGGTTTGACAACCAGGATGGCTGGTTATCCATCTTTTGTGGGTGTTTGTGAGTAAGTTTGCTCCTGCCTGTTTCATGGTTACAGGCAGGCTTAACTACCGGCACAAACAGCCAAGGGTGAAAATAAATCACAGGGGGAAAGAGTAGCATAGAAAAGTGGGAGGAAGGTGAGCACTGCAGGTTCCTTGCTTGTCAAGTGGATATGCTGACAGTGGAGTCTGGAATAAAAACATACCCCTAGGAGTTAACTGGAATAACTCTTCTGGAATAACTCTTTTCGTAGATGAGTGCTAGCAAACACTGGCTCCAAAATATACCACAGTGGCTGAAACAGCTGTGCAGAGGAAGATGTTTTAGGTCTGGTATGTCCATAAATTCAAACATCATTTTTCGTTTTTCAACAAAAATAGCCATGTTCACTTCATTCCAGTTCTTTTGTGTTTGGTGTGAGGGAACAAGTTTTAATGGAAAATTGACCTATGTGAGAATAGATATGTTGTTATGAATGACACAATTTATTGCTACTTTACAGATTACTGTGGTATTGGTGTTTTCTAGTTTCTGCACACTTTCTTGTTAATATTTGGCTGGTACCTTTTGAAATAAACGCCAATTTTAGAGAGGTTTATTTGCACTTTTAAATAAGCATGTGTTTTTTTCCCAGAGAGCCGCTGTTCTTTTGCAGCTGAAAATAGGGCTCATACGTGAAGTTTCTAATGGGTCACCCCAAAATTCATCCTAGATTTTATTAAAATCCAGTAAAAGCTTACACATGTTTTCCTTGGTGAACATAGGCATCTGGGTTGTTTGGGTTTTTGGGGGTTTTTTTAGAACTGGTTTTTTTTTTTTTACACAGTTCCTACTAAACTCTGCAATACTTAGCATTTGCCAAATGAAAACCAAATATTTTTAAATGTATAAAATTTGTGACTGGCAGGAGAGAGACTGCGGATGGGAAGAAGGGTTAAACGAGCAACAAATCTGATGAGGAAGAATGGTAGAAATCCACTGGGCTATAGGCCAAGGAAGCAGTGCTATTTTTATTTTGTGAAAGCTATTAATAGGAGGTGTGCATCTTCTTGAGAGCTTGTATTAACCTTTCTTTGCAAAAGCAAGTCCATGGAGTAACTTCCTATAGTCTATTTCTCCCGGTAGTGAGTATGGATACCAATTTCATTACTTTTGTAAATGGCAAGTGCATTCCTAGAATTCAATGGTATGATTATTTATATGTTTTACAGAAAACTAACACTGGAAGTAATTCATTTTTCACTTCAGCTTTTATAAATCAAGTTGTAAAAACTTATTTTCCCACGAGTAAAGTTTTGTGATTCATTTCATGTTGTGTAACGAATAGAGAATTATATTTATAAAAAAATAAATAGTTTTAAACAAAAGCGTCTTTATATTTCTTTCAAAGATTGGTGGTCATTCTGTTTTTTTCCTGTCCTCTTGAGGAGTGAAGTTTTAAAGTTCTAGTTGTACAAAGAGGAGAATGTTGAATTTTCTGTAGTGTGAAACCAGCAGTCTTAAATGTTCACTCTGACTCTCTTTTTTTTGTGTATCATCCAAACAAGGCCAGGACTTTTCAAAACAGAGGAACAGCCAAAGCCCTTTTAAGGTGAGAAGATGGAATCACCCAATACTATGCAGGGTCCTGAAATCGCCAGGCCTTAGGAAAGTCTCCACTGATCCACATTTACTCCCTGAGTTGCATTTCCATAGATACTGTCACCATAGTACAGAGTTGCTTAATAACATAGACTTTATAGAGCTGCATTTTTAACTATAATCTATTCAAGATCTGGGAGCTGAGATTATGCAGTTGAACTTCAAGAACGAGCTGTGCTGTGACTCTGGCTGGGAAGGCATTACGTACTGTCCCAGCAGGGAGGCCCAGCCTCTGGTTTAGCTGATACCCAAGCGTTCCTGTCCAGGACCAGCCACCACCTCCTCGGTGGAAGGCAAGTCTCTCCTGGCACCTCTGTTACATAAAAGAAAAGGTGCAGTGTGCCACGGAAAGAGGAGGAGGAAGACAGCAATTTCATCCTATTGCCCCAGGGGAAGGCTTCATTTTCCTGGCAAGAGGAGGATAGGAGGATTTAAATCAGATGTGTTCTTGCTGCAATCTTGCTGATTCACAAATGCTAGTTCCCCAGAATGCAGCTGAAAGGGCACTGTCATTCACAGACTCTTCTGGGTGTTTGGTGGATTCCCCGGGCTGCTGATGTAGCAGAGCATTTCTGTAGTACCAAGTGATGGTGGGTCTTTTCCTCTTCAGTGTCCAAATCCTCTGCGGTGCTTCCTTGGGCGTCCAGGTAACATTGCTATGACGTGTGTATGATACTTTTTGATGCTGTTGGTGATGCTGAATTATCTAAGCAACCCACGCGTTTGAATATGGCCATGCAAGTGAGGAGATTTAACAGTCACGTCATAGGGCTGGGACAGTGTTTTCCCATGAGGTCAGGAGTGTTTTAATTCTAGATTAGAGTTTTGTTCTAGTTTAGAGACCATTGCACGTCACTGAAGAGAGATACTCCAAGCACTTAAAAGATTAGTGAATCCTCCCCAAGCACAGAGAGCAGAGGCAGTGGTGGTAAAAGCAGCAAAATTTTCAGTGTCTTAACGCTTTTCAAAACAATTTTTTTGTGCTGTGCCTGACTTTTTCTCCTTCGGCCACAGCTCAAGGCAATCCTTAGGAGGATTTGTGCCTCCGGATTGATTGCCTGCCTTAGTAGGGATTTGGTTTATTGCCTTCCTTTCCCCAAGCAGATGACTGAAAATGTGGCCGTTGCCTAAAAAGGGGCAAGAAAGGAGATGGAGGGGAGAGAGTGAAAAACAGTACATTTCAGGAGCCAGAGCGATCCCAAAACAAGCTGCCTTGTGAAATGTCTGTGGGTAATGTGAATCGATCCAGTTCATTCCAGCTGCTCCCCCTGCAGAGAGCTGGCATGATGTCCTGTAGCAATGCAGCACCAGGTTCTCCTGCAAGCACCACTGCAGACTGTGCCAGGCCTGTGCCCTCAAGCTGCTCCCTGCGGCGGGACATGTTGGCTCTCCTTTGACAGATTGGTCTACAGAGAGGAATTTCCCGCAGAAACTATGTCCTGGTGGCGCTCTGACCAGACATCGCCTCATTTTTTCCTTAAACAGGGCTCCCTTTTTGTAGGCATCTCCTTATCCACAAAACAATCTGGGTCTTGTGTGAATGATGTTTGGCTCGGAGCAGCGTTGCTGTTGCTGAAATGAGACCTGTGCACAGACACAAACTGTTAAGCAGGTTCTTTTCTGTAGATCCCAGCCTATTTTTAACAGGATTCAGGCATTTTTCTCATGCTTTGCTTTTCTAACGTGGGCAAATTTTACGGACTGGCACAGTACTCTGTGTATTTGAAGATTTGGGGAGGGTCCTCCCTGCTGCTCAGGGAGAGGAAGAGAGGGAGATTGTGAGATGGGAAGGGGGTGTGGAATGGGAGCTCAAATATATGTCTCTGGCTGAGCTGTGGGGGACTGGAGCTGCAGCCGGTACCAAGTTTAGCTTATTTCCCCACATGAAGAAGGGAAACCTAGGGTCAGATGCTAGGGAAGAGGGCAGCCTGAATTCAGGGAGAGGGAGAAAATAGAAGGAAGAGACCAAGTACTCTGTGTCTGTCTGAGGTGTGCATATCCCATCTGGGAATGTGCTTGTGGGATAGCCCTGGTTGATGTTAAACAGCTTAATTTGGGGAAAGCAAGAAGTCCTCAGCAAAGGGGAGGGAAAAAACCATGGGTGACTAGGATTTATCTGACTGCGTGGATCCTGCATCATCCCACAGCTTTCTAGGGAGCCAGTCTGGTAGCGATACAGCATCCACGCTGTGTGCCCCGTGTTAGGATTGCTTAGGGGTGGGAGGAGTTGGGACTCCTTCCTTGCGTTCCCAGCCCCATGGGAATCGCTGGTCCATGGTTAGCAGGAGAGAGCTGAAGGGGCAGGACTCTGCCACTGACTCACTGTGGGTGAGTCACGTTGCTTGCCTGAGTTCCCCTTTCCTCTCGCTATGCAGCAATAGTCAATTAGCTGCCTCATGGGGATATGAAATGTTTGGAAGTGGCCAGAGGAACGCTGCTGGAGGAATGGAGAGCTTTATCCTACAGCGTCCCTGTTGTGCGTATCAAGGCATGTACATCGCACAATGATCAGCCAAAGTACTTGCCGGGAACAGCAGCAGTCAAAATCTTCAGCACAAAGCCAGGGCCTGTTCTTACTGCTATTATCTGCTGCAAGCAGATGCTGCCTGGCATCTCCTTTCCCAACAGCAGTATTTTGACATGACCAAACTGTCTGACAAACAAACCACCCACACGCTGCAGTGTTTTGACTTGCAGAGGGACATGGCTGCGGATGCTTTTCCCGAGCTTCTCTCTGGAAGTACTTAGGTGTCTGTAACTAAAAAGGTGCTCTGGAGGCAGGCATGCCAGCAGCAGAGGGTGCTGCTTCCTCATGCTGCAGGAGCCGGCGGGAAACACTTTTCCCAGCTCTGTCCTGAAAAGGGAGCTTTTCCTAGAGGCACAGACCAACACAGTTGGGCCTCTGACACCAACTCTTTTGCTGTCATTCCTTGAGCCGCACACCACACAGAGATGAGCACTGATCTCCTGTGGCACAGTCAGCTCTCTGGTCAGCCTGCTCTCCCGGGAGCTACTCCACAGCTGCTACGCCTGTATTATCCTGGTTGCTACCATTTTCCGTTCATGGCCCTCCATCAAAAAGGCAGGGAACTCATTTTTCTGCTTCCCCACTCCCAATGGCTTCTCATGCACAGACCGCGACCATGTGCTTAGCCCCCTACATACAGGCTTCCGAGATATAGTGCAGTAAGCAAAAAGAGTGTTATGATGTGTCCTTTTTACTGCCGACAGTTGTGTTAGCCAGTAAACGTACTGTGATTTTAGGGGGGTGCTCCTGGCATTTTGTCTCATTAAGAAGTAGTCATGTCTGTAGTACACATACCTCAGAGGTAACTGGGCAACCAGCTGGTGTTGTAAGGGTCACTCCAAATAGAGTTGGAAGTTTGTAGAGTATCTTCTGCATCCGACTGCTCCAGAGTTACATACGTCCCATTCTTCAAGGCAGGCCACTTCACATCCAGCACCCTGTGCTGAAGTGGAAAGGCAAAGGAGCAGTGACAGGAGACATCACA